ATAACAGTAGCAGCTCTTGCCCTCACCTGCTTGCCATAATCTACAAGCTGTCGATCAAAAAAGTACTGCACCAAGGAGGCCTGACCAAGCAGCTCAATGTCATAGTCAGGGCCACCATAAACCGAGCAGCGTGCGACAGCCTGAGAACTAATGTTGGCATGCCCATAAAAGGTAAATTGAATTTTCTGAGTCTCGTGTGGATGCAGCGTGCTGTACAATGGTAGGATGTCAAAAACCTGTTGGCAAACAAAAAAAGAATTGTTTAGTAGGAAAATTGAAGAAGAATCCAAAAACATCAAGCTACAAACGAGAAATGGTTGACACGCTTAAATGATCTATAATAATATAGGTACTCAAGACGGACGAGAGCAAAGCACTCATCCCATTTCCTATCCCTGGAACGCGTAATTGTTCATTTAAGCAATCTAGCAAAGAATTTGCCCTCTATCAAAGTTAAGAGAGTCAGAGAGTTAAGTTGACATAAGGCTTGACTACGTTTCATTCCCCTTCAAACTAACCTCATCAATTCCAATATTAACTTGCATCTCAGTCTGTCCCCACGGTGTTATCAACTGATTTCCAGGACCCCTAGTCCCTTCTTCCTTCTCCTTGCCAGCACTGGAGGGTCTACTGCCTTGGGAGGACCTAGAGGGAGCATCGGCGATCTGCAAAGGGGAACCGGGCGGAGCCTGATCAGGCACCTCGATCACCATAATGTCAGCTTCATCCTGTTTCTCGGCATCCTCCTCAGGCTGGCTATCGTCATCCACCTCAACACCAATCCCTGCAGACAAGAAGAAGAGCTCTCAGTTAAAGGAGTCGTGTCACGAAATTTATCAAAATTAAAACAGCGGAAAGAGAAAGAGCGAAACAAAGCGGGGTGGAAGAGCTGGGAAGTAGCCAAAGCGGTTGCACAAGACAGAAAGTGTTGATCAGACAGCGTGGAGGCCTTATGCGCCTACTGGCACGACAAGAATTGATGATGATGAAACAGCGGTAACCGCCACCAAACTGAGTGAAGCGTAAAAAAACTGCTCAAAAACATGAAAATAAGTTATAGATAACAGCAGATACAAAAGGACAAAGACCCGGTCTTAAAGGGGCAATAGAGGTAAACAAACCTTCATCCTCGTCCTTGTTTTCAAACTGAATAGCAGAGTCTATGAAGCTCCACTGATACTTCACGTCCATTGGACTGTGGTTAGTAACCTTGACAACTTGCATCACTTCAGTGTCATTCAGTATGCAACCGAAGTCAACCTGAAATTGAAGGGAACATCATAGACTCAGAGCCATCTAATACAACAGCAAATACTGTAACAGTAATATGGCTGCAGGGTAAACGTTTCGAATGCCAACCACACAGTGTGGCAAACGCGTTTGATAAAAGAACACACTTCCTTGTATACCACGCTTTGTACTGTGTTGACAATTGCACGAGACCTTCTACTCCGTACATAATAAACGTTGTAACTTTGTCATCTTCATACAGAATCATATGGTACCATTTGGCATTTGAAAAGGACTGAATCAGCAAGGGCGGTGTCGTTCATTTCTTACCAGAGAAAAACATGATGATCTGGAGGAATTGCCCAATCTTGAGATCCATAAGTAAACAAACACAGCAGTTTATTATATTTCCGTATATCATATTTGATCAAGTTTTTGACCGTACCAAAATTAAATACCCAATACTATCGGCATATTTTACCTTTTCCATCTCAAAGGTCAGGTTAGGGAAAAACACTTCACCCTTAAGACTGACAAAATCCTAGAAAGGACAAAAGGGTGTTATTGATAACATTAAACACCTAAAATTTATGGCTAAACTAACTACACTGTACTCGACATTCCATACAGAGCATAAGAATTAAATTATCGTCAAAATTTGTGCGAAGCGACACATTTCTAAATCCCAAAACCAGCAAAATCTGCGCTAGGCAAATTTCGAGGGAAGGTTTAAATACGTTATGGACAGAAATACTAAGAATACATTTTGTTAAGACAAAAACTATTTTGTGGCGATCTACAACATATTCACCAACCGTTTTTTCAAGTTGAACCTCTACAGTCCTGAAATTTTTTCGGGCTTAATTTGCAATTCATTTAAAACTTGTGATTACAACTGCGAAGGTCATAAATTCATTCGCATTTGTCTTTCGGCCGTTTACATCATCTACATCCCATTTCATTAGTCATCCATTCCAACTTTTGCGCCAAAATTGCCCTAGCTTGAGACGATTCTTTCAGCTTTCATCAACATTTCATATAAGGTAGGATGTTATTTACCGTCTGGGGATGTTCCTTAAATAATACTTCCAGTTGACTTTCAGCAGTTCTAGTTACAAAGTCGTCTTTGTAGGAAGGGTCAAACTGGATCAAAACGGGGATACTTTCTCCAACACCAAGGTATACCTCCTGCAAACACATAATTAAGGCTACTTAGAGTGAACTCACACACAAACAATGATTTACAATTGAAAACCTAAAAACCAATAGTAACCATTCAAGCCAACCAATCACAGCAGATGCAGACAATCTATCTGCCCTATTTACCCTATCCGAGCTTTGAAAATACAATTTAAAGCGGTCGCCTAGTGCAAAAATGCCTGTGTCGCAGACTTTAGTTTTGGTCACTCTGGTCAATCACAAAACATGCGGACTATCTAATAAACCAATCAGGGCGTGAAGCATATAACAAGCCGGCACCTAACGCGGGAAAACGCATGCATGGCAGGATTGGTTTTGGTCACTCTGGCCAATCACAAAAGACGTGAACGATCTGAAACCAATCACAGCGTGAAACTTATACAACTAGAAACGCCTAGCGCGGAAGTGCGTGAAAACGCATACCTCTTAGGTCTGGTTTTGGTAATTCAATCCTCTCAACTTCAGTTAATTAGAGCTTGAAGCGTAAGTATTTAGCCGTTTCTACGTAAGGGAAAACAAGTACATGTCAGGCCCGACAGGGGCTGCTTTGATGCATGCATGGGGTACAACTTGAAAAGGAAGATTAAGATAGGACTTCTCTATATGTTTGACACATACCATAGCTATCACAACTGTCCTCTATTTTGCGACACTAGTTCCTATGATATAGCTTATCGATACTGAATGAAGGATTTAAAGGTTTTACCGATTGGGAAGACTTGACATTGACAGGAGCCCATCGAGGATCCTCTACCAGCAACTGGAAAGGATATATGGCCTTCAACATGACTGACAGGGGGAGGGAGGACACATTGTGCATCATCACTTGTTTGGTTTCCACTTCCAAAGTGCTCTCAGGGTACTGCAATGAATACAGGAATAGGTTAGCAGACAAGATGCTGTTCCCACGAAATATTAACCAGTTTGTTATCTGCCCAGAGAGGGTGACTTAGAACAGTTTTCTGTGAGTTTTAGCTGTTATACTTTAGATTACAGGACAAGGAAGGCTACAAGCACAAGATTTAACTTTTGCGTATCCTTGAAAAATATACGTCACGCAAAAGTTCAATGTACTATTTGTTTTTTCTTTTTGTTTGTTTTTGTTTTTGTTTTTTTTTACCAGAAAAGCTAGCACGATTATTTTTATTGAAAGAGGTTAAGCCCTCTCCCGACATTTGACAAATTGTTACCACCATTACGACATTCTCGGTAAAACGAAGACGGCTTTCACGTTTTCCCGCCAAAATGACTCTGAGTCACGCGCTCGCACCACTTAGTATTAGGAAAATATCGCCCCCGTAATCGTCCTCGTTTTAGAATCGAAAGACCTCTATTGTTACCACTACTTAAAGGTTCCGCGATAATGGACCTGAAAACAATACCCAGACAAATAATTACAAGCTTAGTAACATTTGATAGTAACGGTACAACCTATCCTATCAATATAAACTTTCGCAAATAATTTGTAGTGGATCTGTGTGTCACTGAAATGACCGTAACAAGTTCCATATTTACTGCGTTTTTGTATTACGCTATTATTATAACAACAGAGTCCTTGCATGCGATGCATAAGTGTTAGCACTCAAAGACAAGGTAGAAGTCGTGAAATTTTCCAGTCGTTTGTATGTAGGTTGGAAATACGACTCCCCTTAAAGAGCCTGCGTAAAAGCTACCATCAGGGGCGTAGGTCTGTATTGAGCGACAGTTCTTTTTTTGCTAGGAAGCCCGTACTTGCATATTTTCAAGATTTAACCACACTCACCTTCATGACACAGAAGTTGATCTCTCTTTGAGAGAACGAGAGAAGCGGACTGATGAACTCTGCGCTAATGTCCACCTTCATGATTCGCTCCTTACCAGTGCTGGTGCCAATGATAGCATGACAAAACATTCGCTCTTTCACTTTCTGTGGCCTGGTGGAAAGAAAAAAGTAGCTTTAATAGCATACATACTGAAAAGAAACGTTTTTAAAATATATTTAAAAATGTCGACCGACGTAGAGTTTTCTATTTCAACGGACAAAGTCTGGAAGCACAGACCGAAAACGCACGGTCTCATTAGGGCCATTTATACGAGGAAAAATAAGACGCGTCTTACATAAGACGCGTCTTAAATAAGACGCGAACTGTACCATTTATTCGCGCCTGTCTTATCTAATAAGACGCGTCTTAGCTAAGCCGCGTCTTATTTTAGACGAAATGTGCCGTTTATACGGAAAGTTCGCGTCTTATGTAAGACGCGTCTTATTTTTCCTCGTATAAATGGATTCGAATCCTTAATACGACAACTATGAATTTCTCAGCTGTGAAATCGTACTGTTCTTCACCCGCTGAAGTCAAATTATAGGCCCTATATACACTGTACATGCTAACTGAAGAGAGTTAATTGAAATAAAGGGACTTGGCCTTGAACACTGCTTAAATTGCGACTTTTTTGATAACGTGTTTCATGTTTCAACGTGTCCCTGTAGATTTCAATGTCCTCTTTTAAGATTTAATTTTTTTTCCAGATGAAGACACCACTAAACTTTAACTTTTGTTTGAACCATGAAAAACGGCCAAAATAACGACCTAATGGAAGAAAGGCAAGGTCAGATGAGGTCTTACCTGGAATGTCTTCTCGAATTTCTCGGGCACGCCAGGAAGATACCTGATGGTAAGAGTCTGTTGACTAAGAGCCTTGATGTACCCATGAATAGGAGACACATTAGGGGCTCCAGGGAGGGGCTTATTTCCACTGTCCACATTAAGGACCACAAAATTCAAGCCCACTTTGCCAGTGTTGTGGAGAACAATCTCCGCGACTGCTGCTTGATCAAACAGCTGAATAGAGAATAGACATAATTAGAAAAAATGCATAAAATACAATGACTATAAAATAAAAGATATTTTTCATCGTGTTTAGAGTATGATAGCTTACTACAGTATATCGTTAACGTGGTGACATTCACTTGATTTCACTTGGATATCAACGTTTCGACGGTTCACTGATAAAATCAGTAAGAGGATTGTCTAGGCTGTCAGTGGAGGGTTTTGGTAGCAACGTGGCTGTTAGTGATTGCTCACTTCCTGTCCCAGGCGTTCATACAATCCGGAGCGGCGCGAGGTAAAAAGGGGCGCGAAAAAATAAAAACGCCTTTCTCCCCGGTCTCCCCTCGCTGTTCTCTCACTTTCTTAACTTCGCGTCGCTCCCAACTATCTGAACGCCTACTGAACACACTATCTGAACACTACATCTGAACGGGCCATTGCCGGATTTGCGAACAACAGAGAAGGTCAATATCAATAATCAATCAACATCAATATCAATATCATATCAGCTCTTGTCCTCACCTGCTTGCCATAATCCACAAGCTGTCGATCAAAAAAGTACTGCACCAAAGAGGCTTGACCGAGCAGCTCAATGTCATAGTCAGGGCCACCGTAAACCGAGCAACGTGCGACAGCCTGGGAACTAATGTTAGCATGCCCATAAAAGGTAAACTGAATTTTCTGAGTCTCGTGTGGATGCAGCGTGCTGTACAACGGTAGGATGTCAAAAACCTGTTGTTAAACAAAAACAATTGTTTAGTGGAAATTGGAAGAAGAATCCAAAAACATCAAGCTACAAACGAGAGAAATGGTTAACACGCTTAAATCTATAATAATATAGGTACTCAAGACGGACGAGAGCGAAGCACTCATCCCATTCCCTATCACTGGAACGCCTAATTGTTCATTTAAGCAATCTAGCGAAGAATTTGCCTTCTATCAAAGTTAAGCGAGTCAGAGAGTTAAATAGTCCAGTTTCGAATTAAAAATTACCGCTGAATACAAATTTTAACGACACATTCAGACCGGGTTAGCCTCGACGTAAAGTAAAATATTCAGAAATTCTGGCAAGTAAGTGTTTGAAATTTGAATATACACCATAGACAGAGTAATAAACAGGTCTTTTTCTCGTTGGAATTTGTGAATATATTACTTCAGATTGAGGCTAAGGCTGTAAAAAATGCGTCTTCACTTCTTTAATCTAACGAGTCTGTAGACACCGTCATGTCCGGCATGGTAACCACGGCTTTGATCCTTAGTCCAAACGAAGGACCACTAAGCACGTGAAAGGGCACGTGAATATCCACTGGACCCATGGGAAGACCAGCCGCTCGTGGGTCAAAGGTCACCATGAATTCAACACTTTCATTGTCTGGCTCGCCCGGGAGATTGCGAACTCGGTCCAGTTCTACTCCAAATCCGCTGCCCCAAAGGACTGACTTTTCAGGAGCGAAGGAGGCTGGGAAGTGTCCGTTATTGGTCACCCGGACCACATGACTTCGTACTGTGCCATACACAACATACCCAAAGTCCAGCAAGTAGTTGATTAGTTGAGGTCTAATGAAGAAAAACAGTGGAAAGATATCACCAGTAACAGTCATTAATTATACCAGAACCAAGGTTATTTGCTTCTGATTATGCTGAGTGAGATTTACAATCACGTTTACGGCAAACGTCAAATTCAAGTGAACGATTTCTCAGAACAGGAAAGGAAAATATTAAAACTGTGCGAACTAGTTTTTATAGATGATTTGACATAAGACTACTACTTTTTTGTAAAGATAATGATCAGTAAACGACTGGTAAGGGAAAGCTTGGACAAGTGGTACAAATTGCAAATAGCAAAAATAACTTGAACGCGGTACTACAGTTGTCATTGATGAGCTGATGATAAATTTTTCTTCGTCACAACGAATCGAAGGTTGCGTGCTTTAATTCAGTGTTTAGCAGGAGAGCTACGCTGTCGGTAAAAACAAGGTAAAATGAAAGACAAGGCTCCACGAGAAACACATTAGTTTACAGTAGACTAGGTAAAAAGAATTGCTGATATGTGGAAGAGGAATTTCTGTCCCCTCATGCGAACATTTACGACAGTACGCATGCACATTACGTGTGCTTTATGTCAGTGTATAGCAGGAGAGCTACGCTGTCGGTAGAAGCAAGGTAACATAAAAAATAAGAAGCTACAAGAAGCACTCAGTCCACAGCTTACCTCGGTCGCTGTTTCTTTGCTGCTGTTCTGTGAGAGCTGGAAGTGTGGATTAGTGATGTGGTCTTATATAACTCCTGTTGCTCCAAAGCAAACTGTTTCACTAACAGTCTTTCCATCTCCATCTGAACTCCGAGATCACCAACAGACTGAAAAAGAAAACAAAACTAGAACACGGTACTTGACACCCTTAGCCTTTTGAGACAAACGTCTAATTTCCCTTTATGATAGTACTTCTACATCGAACAGACAGTTATCAACTATTCACCTTCATTTTGGTGTGTGTATAAAGGCTTCTGTTTATCATTTGTGTCACGATAATCACTTGGTCATTGATCGTCACGTTTCGACTGCGTACTGCAGGTCTTTATCGGGCGATGGTGTCGATCGATATTGTTGGGTGGGGCTATTAAGATTATGTGCTCTGTTAGTGTACTACTTACATCTGCAAGAGCCCTGAAAGGGACATCGCCAACACTCTTATCTGACAGGTTGGAGTTTTCTCGGCCCAGGCTCTGGTGTGCTTGCTTAGCCACCTCTTCATATCGGTAGTCCTCTTTGTCTGCGGGAAGGTCAAAAATAACTCGAGGGAAGACGCCCTCTCCGGTCACCGTTATTTTGTCAGGTCCAAAATGAGCTACTCGTACCTAGCAAAAGAAAAGCAAACAACAAATAAGAGTTGACGGAAAGTTTACTAAAGATGCCTTGAACTTTTCAGATCAATTGTAATAGAAAATATTCGAATCCTTAATACGACAACTATGAATTTCTCAGCTGTGAAATCGTACTGTTCTTCACCCGCTGAAGTCAAATTATAGGCCCTATATACACTGTACATGCTAACTGAAGAGAGTTAATTGAAATAAAGGGACTTGGCCTTGAACACTGCTTAAATTGCGACTTTTTTGATAACGTGTTTCATGTTTCAACGTGTCCCTGTAGATTTCAATGTCCTCTTTTAAGATTTAATTTTTTTTCCAGATGAAGACACCACTAAACTTTAACTTTTGTTTGAACCATGAAAAACGGCCAAAATAACGACCTAATGGAAGAAAGGCAAGGTCAGATGAGGTCTTACCTGGAATGTCTTCTCGAATTTCTCGGGCACGCCAGGAAGATACCTGATGGTAAGAGTCTGTTGACTAAGAGCCTTGATGTACCCATGAATAGGAGACACATTAGGGGCTCCAGGGAGGGGCTTATTTCCACTGTCCACATTAAGGACCACAAAATTCAAGCCCACTTTGCCAGTGTTGTGGAGAACAATCTCCGCGACTGCTGCTTGATCAAACAGCTGAATAGAGAATAGACATAATTAGAAAAAATGCATAAAATACAATGACTATAAAATAAAAGATATTTTTCATCGTGTTTAGAGTATGATAGCTTACTACAGTATATCGTTAACGTGGTGACATTCACTTGATTTCACTTGGATATCAACGTTTCGACGGTTCACTGATAAAATCAGTAAGAGGATTGTCTAGGCTGTCAGTGGAGGGTTTTGGTAGCAACGTGGCTGTTAGTGATTGCTCACTTCCTGTCCCAGGCGTTCATACAATCCGGAGCGGCGCGAGGTAAAAAGGGGCGCGAAAAAATAAAAACGCCTTTCTCCCCGGTCTCCCCTCGCTGTTCTCTCACTTTCTTAACTTCGCGTCGCTCCCAACTATCTGAACGCCTACTGAACACACTATCTGAACACTACATCTGAACGGGCCATTGCCGGATTTGCGAACAACAGAGAAGGTCAATATCAATAATCAATCAACATCAATATCAATATCATATCAGCTCTTGTCCTCACCTGCTTGCCATAATCCACAAGCTGTCGATCAAAAAAGTACTGCACCAAAGAGGCTTGACCGAGCAGCTCAATGTCATAGTCAGGGCCACCGTAAACCGAGCAACGTGCGACAGCCTGGGAACTAATGTTAGCATGCCCATAAAAGGTAAACTGAATTTTCTGAGTCTCGTGTGGATGCAGCGTGCTGTACAACGGTAGGATGTCAAAAACCTGTTGTTAAACAAAAACAATTGTTTAGTGGAAATTGGAAGAAGAATCCAAAAACATCAAGCTACAAACGAGAGAAATGGTTAACACGCTTAAATCTATAATAATATAGGTACTCAAGACGGACGAGAGCGAAGCACTCATCCCATTCCCTATCACTGGAACGCCTAATTGTTCATTTAAGCAATCTAGCGAAGAATTTGCCTTCTATCAAAGTTAAGCGAGTCAGAGAGTTAAATAGTCCAGTTTCGAATTAAAAATTACCGCTGAATACAAATTTTAACGACACATTCAGACCGGGTTAGCCTCGACGTAAAGTAAAATATTCAGAAATTCTGGCAAGTAAGTGTTTGAAATTTGAATATACACCATAGACAGAGTAATAAACAGGTCTTTTTCTCGTTGGAATTTGTGAATATATTACTTCAGATTGAGGCTAAGGCTGTAAAAAATGCGTCTTCACTTCTTTAATCCAGCGGTCATAGCGAACTCGAAAATGGACTATTGACATAAGGCTTGACTATGTTTCATTCCCCTTCAGACTAACCTCATCAATTCCAATATTAACTTGCATCTCAGTCTGGCCCCATGGTGTTATCAACTGATTTCCAGGACCCCTAGTCCCTTCTTCCTTCTCCTTGCCAGCACTGGAGGGTCTGCTGCCTTGGGAGGACCTAGAGGGAGCATCGGCGATCTGCAAAGGGGAACCAGGCGGGGCCTGATCAGGTACCTCGATCACCATAATGTCAGCTTCATCCTGTTTCTCGGCATCCTCCTCAGGCTGGCTGTCGTCATCTACCTCAACACCAATCCCTGCAGGCACGAAGAAAAGCTCTCAGTTAAAGGAGCCATGTCACGAAATTTATCAAAATTCAAACAGTGGAAACCGCCACCAAACTGAGTGAAGCATAAAAAAACTGCTCAAAACATGAAAATAAGGTTTAAATAACACAACAAATACAAAAGGAGGCACAGATGGACAAACTTGAAGAGGATTTAAATGAGTTGCAATCGTGGTTTTTTAAAACTTGCTACGCTCAAAGTTGTTGAAAGTTCAATTTTGTTGTTTGTGACGTTTAATATTATGCTTCTTATGCTTTAACGTGACGTTTTCGTAGCCGTCGCCGTTGTCGTTGCTTAGGCTCCCTATTGGCTGTCACAAAGATGAACAGGAGGCTGGGTCCAAAGTTCGTGCCCCAAAACAGTACCATAATGCAGTTCCACACAACCAGGATCCAGTCTCAAACGGCCAATAGAGGTAAACAAACCTTCATCCTCGTCCTTGTTTTCAAACTGAATGGCAGAGTCTATAAAGCTCCACTGATACTTCACGTCCATTGGACTGTGGTTAGTAACCTTGACAACTTGCATCACTTCAGTGTCATTCAGTATACAACCGAAGTCAACCTGAAATTTAATGGAATATCATGGACTCAGAACCGATCTAATGAATACAACAGCAAATACTGTAACGGTCATATGGCTACATGGTAAACGTTTCGAAGGCCAACCACACAG